CGGCTTCCCCCCCCCCCCCAAAAAAAAAAAAAAAAAAAAAAAATTCAAAAAAAAAAACACTCGAGGGTTCGCAACGAAAGCCTGCACCCCCTGGACCTAACTGTGAAAATGCAGTTCTTGCCCCATCTTGGACCCCCCCCCCTGGGGCCTACACCCTCCCCTGGTGAGCCCGGGGTGGCCCTGGGCACGGGTCCGGGGGCGGGGCCGAGCGGGGTGCGGGGCCAGGGATGGCTGGGAGCGGAGGTGGGGTCCGGTGTCGGGACTGGTGGGTCCCGAATAACTTCCCATCACTTGAGAGACTGAATATAGATAAATTGTGCACGACAAAGAAATCCAGAGTAAGGAGGCAGGAGAGAGAAAAAACAAAGGATTAAGCCACAGGAGGGAGTGATGTCATGGGGTGAGAACCACGGGAAGAAAGAACTAGCGACGGCAAGCGAGCGAGCGCAAGAACAGGGGCACATAGAACATAGCATTAGGCCAGGAGGGTCATTGGAATTCGACAAGACTAAGGCCGAGGGACCCTTCAACCAGCAAACACGGAACGACAACGACAAAAAAATGAGAGAGTCGAGGGATGGGCGGCCGGAGGCCGCGGGAACACAGAGAACGAGGGGTCAACATGGGGGTCACCTACGGGAGCCTCGGGGTGGATGCCCGCGACCAAAAGAACCGGCGCGCGCAAGGCACAAGAAAAGACTACGGAGAGGGGCCACCAAGGGAGCGGCAAACGCCTTAGGGGCATGGGACACCTTGGGGAAAGGCGCCTGGGGGCCGCACGAGACTAAGTAAAAATAATGGCACCCGGGACAAAATGTGTCGGGGACCGCCGACGGGACTAAGTGTCGGGGACCGCCGACGGGGCTAAGTGTCGGGGACCGCCAACGGGACTAAGTGTCGGGAACCACCGACGGGACAAGTGACGGGGACACAAGAAGGCCCCAAGAGAATCAGTGGAGCGACATCTGGAAAAGAATTAAGACAAGGTGCACCGTCAAGATCAAGATCTTGACGACCAAGAATATTAGCACCACTGGTGCAAGCACTAGTGGTAGCAAACGGGAAGGTCAAAAGGAAAATAAAAAGTAGAGAAAACTGAAGTGGGAGGCATGGGAGCAATCCGAAAAATCTCGGATTAGCCTCCCTCAAGAAAATGGAGTCAAATGGGACCCCGTGTGAAAAATAGGCGTGCGGGTGAAAATCGGAGTAGGAGGGGTCATTATGAGAGAAAGATAGGAGTGAGAGGAAGCTCCCATGGGCATGAGAAAGCCATTATTGCAGTCCGAGATATAACGGACTGCACCTTGGGCATAGGAAGGGCCAAAACTAAGAGGAAGGGGCTAGAAAAGGGCCTTAACGGTCACTTGACACTTGACATTCTAGAAAAAAGAGAGAAAAGAAAAGAAAATGTGAGAGAATAAGACAGAAAAAGTGAGAGGGAGTGGGTGAGTTGACCGTCAGTAGGGACCGCCACAAGTAGGGACTGACAGGTCCCTACTGTCCAAGAAAGGAGGAAAAAAAAAAGAAAAGAAAAGAGAAAAAAACCTTAACGGTAAAAAACGGCCACTTGGGAAGATTCATCCGTGACCAGATTCATTCTGGAATATAGCGGTTACAAAAGACTTTGATTTTCTTTGATTTTTGCAGAGAAAATCAAAGAAAATCAGGGCCCCATGCAACCGGGATAAAATGGATTACATGCATGAGGAGACACACATGTTTTAGGTGCATCCGAAGTCAAAATCAAGTTCGATGCACTTGGGAATTGGCTGTTTCGTTTTCTTTTGAGTAGGGGCTAGTTGTGGGGCATTGGGGCTAGGAAATTGACCCCTATTGCAGTCCGAGTTGCAACGGACTGCATGGGGGAGGGAAAACACATGTTCTGGGAGCATCCGGAGCCAATATTGAGTCCGGATGCACTTAGAAATTTAACGCTTCATTCTCTTTTAGCATGGGGCAAATTGTGGGGCTGTGGGACTAGAAAGATGACCATCACTGCAGTCCGAGAAATAACGGACTGCATGGGGGTGCCTAGGCTAAGAGCAAATGAACCACAGCAAGCCCGGAAGGCTAGAAAAGAGCGATTTTAGCATAAGGCAAGTAGGAGACGGTAAACGGCAACCGTGAGATGAGATCTCACGGCCTAGAAAAATCAGCACACATGTAGAGATAATGGGACCACTAAGGGCAAGGGGGCCCCAAAAATAAAAATGGGACACCATCCGGAAAGTTGCCGGGGAGCAAGTGAGTCCAAATAATAAAAGTCGAAAAACGGGACGCGCGCCGGCGGGACCACCAGCGGGACAAAAAAATGGAACTAGTATGGAGGAAAGTGGCGGGAACTTGGGATGTCCCAAGGGAACCATGAACAAGCACAAGGAATATGTGTGCAAGCAAACGGCACCGCCAAAATCAATGATCTAGACGGTGAAAAATATTAGCATCACTAGTGCAAGCACTAGTGGGGGCAAGTGGGAGAGCCATGAGAGAAAAAAAATAGCCCCCTGGGTGTGAAGAAGAGAGAGAGACTAAGGGCTGCCACTCTGACTCTGACAGCTCTTGAAAGCCCCAAGTTTCAAGAGGCTGGGTGTCCACGCAGGGCAGCAACTCTTGAAAATGAGTTTTCAAGAGTGGTGTGGCGAGGCCCTATGGGGTGGTGGGGCAATGAGGCAGTCTGTGAGGGCTAACCCAGAAAACGGATGCTTTTGTATTCGGCGTACTGGCGGGAGGTCCAGCACCTATGTTTCACAGAGGGCGGTACCGGTACCCGCCTGTTTTTCCATGTGCTGGTGCCGCTCCGCTTCAGGCTCGCCAAAATGTGGCGCGCGTCAGTAGCTGCAAGTTGGGCGCTGGGCTGGGCTTAGCAGGTATTCCCTTCGTCAAATGGGGTACAGGTGCAACTTCACGAAATAAAAAGAGCGTGAAGATGCAAGTTGGGCGCTGTACTGGGCTTAGCTTAGCAAGTATTCCCTTGGTCAAATGGGGTACAGGTGCTATTTCACGAAATAAAACAGTGTGAAGAGAGAACCCGAAATCAACGCCCGGATGGGCTACATATGCCCACTAGCAGCCAGCCTCTACAACAACCTGGACTTCAAAACAAAAACAAAAAAAAGACGAACACTGCATCAGTCTGCATGTGTTTTCGCTTCGAGGAGAGCGTGCATCCCGTCACAGCGGCAATGAATGATGCCTGCTGCTCCATGAGCTTCTATCCAGTGTGCTATTGAAAAGCCCCTGACCGGCACGAGAATGGCACGATTATGTAGTACCAGGGCGAACTCCCACTTAGCACGGAATCAGGGCTATATTCATCGTTGACAACAATGACAAGCAACATGGACGCTGTACGTCTCGTCTACCAGCTCATGGAACTTGATGGAAATGGAAGTGCTTCCTCCTCCACGGTCTGTGAAGAAAGGGCTCCTTGCCACGGCTGTGTGTGTGTGACTGTACCACACTGTTTCGTCGGACGTTGTGTGTGTGTGTGTGTGTGTGTGTGTGTGTGTGTGTTGCTCGCTCGCTCTCGCTCTGTTCCGGCCGGCATACCGTCCTCGAAGTCTTTTCTTCTCAAAAATAATTTGGACCATTTCTCGATTTATAAGTGTCATCCCTTGCGAACGGGCCATGCTAACGGACTTTTTTTTTTTTTTTTTAATTTGGACCATTTCTCGATTTATGCGTGTCATCCTTGCGCAGGGGCCATGCTAATCTTCTCTGTATCGTTCCAATTTTAACGGATGTCCCGGGGCGTGGTCCCACTAGGAAAGAGGATCGGATCGAATGTCTGAATCTGGACGTGTTTGTGGCGAGCTGCAGGAAATCGAGATTGAGCTGCTTTTCTGTATCTCCGCGTAAAACGCGCCCAGATTCAGAGGGTTAATCCTATCCTCTTTGCTAGTGGGACCTCGGCCCCGAAGGACTGACGGATCTTTTCGCTGAGAAGACGGGAAACGAAAAGCGCAGCACATACTTGGAAAAAAAAAATAGAAAACAAATCCACAGCACCTCCCTTTTCCGGGGCCGCCAGAATGATTCATTTCGGGTCGTCGATCTATGCGATCAATCTACGGTCTGGAATGAACCGTCGGGACAGGTGGGAGTTGGCCCCCCGACTGGGCAGCTGGCGTAACATGAGGCTGCCCCATGTTTTGTTTTTTTTCTTCTGCTTTTTGTAGTGGTCATTTTGAGGGATAACATCGAGTGTTAGGCCGCAAGTGTATATATATAGACAGATGGGCTCGCAGGCAAGCAGGGTACAGTGTCCAGTCGAGGCTCGCTCTCGAAGCAGGCGCGCTGGGGGGGAGTCTCGGACCGACGAGCAGTGATGTGGGACGACGGCGCCATCGGCATCGCTCCGCTCCGGAGTGTCGCTGGTAGATCGACCTCCTCCTGCATCTTCAGCGGCGAAGAAGAAGTTCAAGCCGGAGATTACCCATCCCATCGAATCGAACGGCGTGCTGAAGCTGCTCCTTTCCAGCACGAGAGCGATGGCGCGCAGCTTGCTTCCAGCGATGGCGGTCATGGTGGCTTTGTCCGTCGTGACGATCCTGAGTGTTGCCACGCCTGCCGTCGCAGTCCCACGGAAGGTCGCCATTACATCGGTCACTTACGGCGGCACCGGCTGCAACTGGACCGATACCTCCTACGTGCTCTCTCCCGACTACACCATCCTCACATTCATCTTCGGCAATCTGATTGCCACCACTGATTCGGGCATGCTGGGTCTGCGCAAGTTCTGCCAGATTTCCTTGTCTCTCGATTATCCCCGTCGCTGGAGTCTCACACTGGGCTCGGTCACCGGCCGCGGCTTCGCGGACATCTCCGCCGCCTCCCAGGGCGTGTACGAGACGCAGTTCTACTTCTCCGGCCAGTTGGGGACGCCCACCATAACGCGCACCATCCCCGGCCCTCAGACCGGCAACTTCGAGGTCACCGACAACTTCCTTACGCTTGTCTACAGCAAGTGCCACGAGACTCCTAATCTGAACATCAAGCATGTGGTCCGCGTGGAGGGCAGCAAGGCCCTGGTTGGGGTGGATTCGTCGGACTCGACGTTCAAGCTCCTGTTCGGTCTGCTGTGGAAGAAGTGCTAACTCTGGGAAGGCAGGATCTCGTGCACCGAGCGGGTGGGAGGGGCGGCAGGCGTTATGATCAAGCAACAGGGATGGATGGATGGAGCGGATGCAGAGAGGATGAGCGGAGCTGCCGACCTGTTCACACGCAAGCTGATAGCTGTAGAGGATGGCGATGCACAGAGTGTGTGGCTGCAGCCAGAATGGCTGGGTTCCAACTATGAGATGACAGGGTCACTGCTAAGGCCGTCCGCTGCGCGAGACTCAGACGCTAGACGAAGTGGACGAAGTTGACGAAGTAGACGAAGTAGATGCTGCACTGCTCCCATCTGGAAAAGCTCGGTAGCTGGTAGATCAATCCAGGGTGCCCTTCCCCTACTATGACGCTATCTTGTCGTTGTCATATCTGTCATGGGTGACCAGATTCCTTGCATCCTATTTGTAACTTGTGCCAAGTGGCCAAATTGTAAGCCGGACGATCAAGTATGCTTGCTCCATCCTCCTCTGCAAGACAAACAGACGGTCGTCAAATCCTCTCTCTCTCTCTCTCTCTCTCTCTCTCTCTCTCTCTCTCTCTCTCTCTCTCTCTCTCTCTCTGTGTGTGTGTGTGTGTGTGTGTGTGTGTGTATGTGTGATTACGTGTTGTTTTGATGAGTGCTTGTCAGGGCGTTTCAAGGAGTACAGGAGGAGGGAGCTAATGATCTGTTTAAATGTCCTTAATATGTGGTACCTCAAGTGTGTAGTGATGTCCTGATTCCCTATTGTGTGCCCATGTGCCATCGTCGACGAGCATCCACCGATTACCGGGAAAGATGCGAGCAAAAATGATCCAGCACTGGGGTTATTAACTGAGAACGTGAACGTGGCCCGGCGGGAAGCATTCTTAGACCCATAGCCACATAGCTTGGCCAAGAGAGGGTCGCCAGCTGGTGCCTGTGAGAATAGAGAAAGGCGATCTCTTGGGGGTGAGGAGAGAAGATTTCATGCCTGGTGGCTCTGCACTTGCACGCAGAGGAAGGACGACCGTCACTCACTCATTCAACAACATCTCTAGCCTTCGAGTTGGTCATTTCATTGAGGTGGAGTGCAAAAGACTTATGTCCTCTGTTCTTGGTCTCATGACCATGTACCTCTCGAAGGATTTATGTGCGTTCTATGTCTCATCTAACTTGATCTAAGTGTGTTCTACGTGTGAATTTTTTTATTTATTTATTTTTCAACCAGAGGTGCTCTACGTGTGATCACGTCTGGCCTACTTGTGATCTACTTGTGATCTAGGTGTGCGTTCTATGTCTCATCTACGTGTGTTCTACGTGTGATCTTCTTTTATTTACTTATTTTTCAACCAGAGGTGGTCTACGTGTGATCTACTTGTGATGTAGGTGTGATCTACATGTGATCTACGTGTGATCTAAATGTGAGCTAATTCTGATAAAGTGTTTGAGCTGGCCAGGGTACAGTGGTAGGGCGACATGGAGCGAGATGAACAGACACCAGAAGAGGACCAGCAGGCATCAGTTCCACGAGATTACCCCCTCATCTTCAAGGATTGGACATCAATTGACCCCAGCATCCCTATGCGGGGCCCTGCGTATTTCCCAGATCCTTTTCCCCCCATCCCTTGGCATTGGAAGTCAGGCTCTAGAAGTTCGGGACAGGGGACAGAAGAGGGTAGGAATCGAGGGGAAATGGAAAGAACGGACCCGCTGGTGCCCCCCAGTGGTCCCGCCTGGCCCCAGCCCCTCGTCCCTCACAGAGAAGATGGCCAGACAAGCTGTACCAGGGGGGAAAAGGTATAGAGACTGATATGCAGACACCTTAGATAATTTGCTCATTTTTGCTCAGCCTTCTTTCCCAACTTTTCCTAACTTTTCCTTCTCAGTCTTCTTTGCTTTTTTCTCAGTATGAGACACTTTCAACGCTGTGTAAATAATGGGATGTTGGACCTGGTTTCCAGCAGGTGATGCTCCCCACCAATAGATGGAGCGTTAAAAAAAAAAAAAAAAAAAAAAAAAAGAGCTAAGGGTCTCGTTAGACACTCCTAAAAGTGCCTGTTTTTAGGATTGCGTCTTGTTGCACGCAATCCTAAATCCAATTTCGAGATTGCGTCTTCGTTGCATGCAATCCTAAATCCAATTTCGAGATCGAAAATGTGAAAACGGCGTTAGGACGAGTCCTAAAGGATTTAGGATTCCCCAGGCAAAATCGCCCTAAATTTTCCAGTAGCCCCTGACCTACTGAAAAATTTAGGATTCCCGCGTTTCACGGACTCGTTGCGTCGCGCGCATGGCCCCGTCGACAAGGGGTTGCTGGTCCAGGAGTGGTCCGTCGGGTGGGTGGTCGGACATCGGAGGTTTTCTGCGGGTCAACGTCGGCAACGGCCACCAACAGTAGCCGTTGGCTGACGGGGTGGAGCGCGGGGGGGCGAGCGTGGGCGGGCGGGCATCCGTAGTGGACCGTTGGCTCTGTTGTGGGTAGTGGAGGACGACGACGACGTGCGCGGGACAACATATGGAGGCGCTTCCGGCAGTGCGTGGGTGGCAACGGTCGATTTCTGAATCGCAGGCAGGCACCTTTGTCGTCTACTCTGGTGGTTGTCGGCATATGAAGGTCCAGCGGCCCTATCCACCGGCATGCCAGAAGATACTTCTGCAGTAGTCGCGTGGAAGGGTGGCTGCCTGCGATTGAATTGATGGCAGACATGCACAGGAGATTGCCTCTGCTGGTGCTCGCTGTGGTCGTCTTCCTCCACGTGTGTTTGTCGTGCCGGCCGTGGAAGCAACGTCGCAAGTGGAGGGCGTCAACGAAACGGCAGGGAGGGGAACGTCCGATGGCGGGCATGCAGCCTGATGCAGGCACGTGTGGTTCTGGCTGCAGGTTAGGGCGGAAGACGACCTGCAACAGCGGAGCCTCGACGGCGGTATGACCCGTCCATGTAGACCCATCTAGAGTCGTTGGAGACGCCACTGCCCTCGTCGGACGAGGAGGCGGAGACGGAAGAACTTCCAACATTGCCTCTCGCCAGCGGGTCGATGCAGCTGTTGTCGCAGACGGTGAAGCAGGCGGGTCGGCTACCAACGAAGGCGGCGAGTTCAGCTCACTCCTGCACCAAGGCTTGGGAGACGACGACGACGGAGGACTTGATCTCAGGTTCGGGTTGTGTTCTGGTGGCGCTAGGGAGGTGATCCCTACGTTCATCGTCGACGTCGATCCTTCGACGCGTGGCCTTCAACATGCTGGAAGTGAGCATACGGAGCAGTCCACACTTCGTGGCGGTGCGTCCGTTACTGGCGGTGTCGGGGCATCGGCAGCAGCCCGGCAGCATGGATCGACTGCACCGTCCGCCGATCGATTGACAAGTACCTGGCCCGCGCGTACTGGAGTCGCATCCGGGTCCCTGCGCATGGGCGGTGCACGTCCTTCGATGCCCAACCGCACAACCCCAACCCAACCCGACCTGAGGGACGAGGGCGCCCGCATACCACCGGTGCGTCCAGGACCCACTGTGGAGAACATCACACGAGGAGTGTCAAACATGTGGGCACATAGCGATGGCGGCGACGACGATGGCGGTGGCGGTGACGATGCCGACGAAAGATTGAGGGAGGACGTGGAAGCAGGGGACGACGACGACGACATTCCTATTCGGCCTTTGGGGAAGACGGGTGGGAGGGGGAAAGGACGCTGCAGAGGTGCTGTTTGTGGTCGATCCATTGGGCGTGGCGGCAGAGGTGGTGTCAGCGACGACGACGGGAAGTTTGCGACGACTGGTCTCCGGAAGACCAAATGCTTCTGGTGAGATGCAAGCAGGAGCAAGAGATGCACCTCGCCGGGCTGGGTCACAATTACGGGCGGATGCGGACCAAGGAGTGGAAGTGGGACAACATTGCGAAGCGCATGGCGAACGCGGGGAGGCCTAAAGACGACGACGACTGCATGAAGAAGTGGGACAATCTCTTCCAAAACTACAAGAATTTCAGAATGCCAGCGGCCAGGCAGATTTCTTCAGGCTATCGAATGAAGAAAGGAAGGAGCACAACTTCAAGTTCCGGATGGAGAGGGTGCTGTACAACGAGATCCACGCAGGCATGTTGGGGAACAATACAATTTTCCCTCCCAACGTCGCCGACACCGGCAGTCCGAACGGGGTGTAGCTGCCCAGGCGAGGAGCGGTTGGTGGAGAGTCTGTCGGTAGTGAGGCTGGTGGTGACGGCTGCCCTGAAGAACGTTCTTCTGCGAGGGACTCCGACAACAACGCAGGCAGTGGGGCTGGAGGCAGGAAGCAGAAGAATGTGCGTCAACAGGCGTTGGAGTCGATCACTGATGTCATGGACCGCCATGGCGAACTGATGTCGACGACGATCAATTCGTCTAGCAAGCGGCAATGCAGCATATTCACGAGGCAATGCGATATACTCGAGCAGGAAGTTGCAGTCCAAAAAGCGCATTATGCGGCGTCCGATGAAACGCAGAGGATGATGTGCCACGCGCTTATGGAGATCGCTGCCGCCATCCGTGGTCGGTCGCCGATGCAGGCCGTTCGATCGTGTGTTGGTTAAAGTCCAGTCATTGCGTTCGTAGATAGCTTAATTAATTTTTTATTTTTATTTTTGTTCACGGATTCTTCTATCGAGGAGCGCACTGTGTGTGTGTGTGTGTGTGTGTGTGTGTGTGTCACAGTGTGTGTGTGTGTGTGTGTCACAATGTGTCATTGTTTTTACGAGCAGATTGCATCGTCTGCGTTTCGGTGGCTCAAGAACCACAAAGCCACATCTGAAAGGGGGTGTGTTGTTTGTGGATTGTGGAGTACGGGGGTCTGGATTGGRRRGGGGGGGGGGGGGGGGGGGGGGGSGGKGGATGCGAGGGGTAGGCGCGATGGGGTGGCCAGGGGTGAAGGTGGGTTCTCTTACTTTTGGTCCCTGGCGAGTGAATTGACGCGCGTCGCCAGGGACGTCGAAGGGTCTTTTCGCGCCTTGGGGAGGATCATAATGACATGTTGCTCATCGTGTTGACGACGACGGCAGTCACCGCCATCGCCACCGCGTCGATCTCTTCTTCGCGTAGACCGTGCCCGCAGCCGCGAACGTCCATCTCTGACAATCGTTCCGCATCTACAGCGTGACGCCTGCCACAGCCGCCGAAGACACGCCCCCTGATCAACCCTGCCGCAGGAGACCACGCACGCCGGAGCCGAAGACGCGCCCACTGCTGTACGCTGCCACAGGAGATGACGCGCGCCGGAGCCCAAAACGCGCCCGCTGCTCTACGCTCCCACAAGACAGTACGCGCGCCAGAGGTGAAGATGTGCCTTGCAGGAACAACTTGCGTAGACCCGAAAGATGGACACCCACACCGAACGCTTCGCCAGCGCCGTCGTTTCTACGTCACACACGTCGCCTGGCCGAAACAAAACGACGGCCCCCGATCAGATTGATCAACGTTGGGCTCGGCCTCCTGAAAGTTGGGGAGCTGGCAAGTACTTGTCGAAACCGGAAGCCAAAGGTACTAGTGCTTTAAAGGGCGATGGCCTTGAGGTATTATGATCGGACTAACCAGCCCAGGTAAATTCAATATCGTGTCTAATCTGACATCGGGTGGCCTTTTCAGCCCAGGGCGGCCTTGATTGCCTTCAGGGAACCCCCAACGGGGGACACCGGCCAGGGGACAGCCGGTGGCAGAGGGACAGAGCATCATCTGAGTGGCCAGTCGCTGTGCCTCCCCCACTGCCCGTCCCCCTATGAACATCAGCAGAGACTGCTTTTTAATGCCAATTGGGGGGACCAAGGTGCTATCTCTAGGTGGCGGGCGCCAAGCATGCCCAGGAAAGTACATGAGGCCAATGGGGATTAACCCAAGACCTCCTGAATGCCACTTGCGTGCCTCACCAGCTGAGCTAGGCCGCTGGATTGCGACAGCTAAACGTATTTCTAGAATTGTTTTGAACAAAAAGAGGATCTCAGAGTCTGTGAACTTTTATTGACAGGGTCCGCTATAGATAGCCTTAGGAGTAGGTAGTGAAAGGCAAAAACAGTTGTTGAGAGACCCAATTGGCCCAATTGGGCGCCCTGACAGATTCCAAAGCCTGCCAAGCTCTCGGAGGAACTGGACGTGAGGTGGAGGAGCCGAGTGCCTCCGACGAAATGACCTGGTCTGGATTCTCAGGAGTATGCATTCACCCTTCCACATTTCAACGGGAAGTGTGGGCAGGGGCCGAATGTGGGCCGATTCTGGGGCATTTCCATCGGCAGAGGAGATCGAACCATGAGGCTGTCCATCAACGCTGCACGTACAACAAGAATCAGCGCCGCCAAACTTCACATTCATGTACTTGTCTCCCTCCCACAGAGTGTGACTTCGGTGGGTGGGGAAGAAAAGGCTGGCTGCAACGCGCAGCCATTGCCATGCCCCGCTATGTCAGAGCATCCTCGCCGCCTTCCACAGCTGTGACGAAGGTGGCACCGTATGCGTAAATGGCCTGTGTGCGGAAAGGTTGACTGCCGTCGGTGCTTTGCTGCTCATATTCGCCGGTGCAACCCCAGTTCCCTTGAGGCAGAGCCCAGCACGCTGACTGTCATGGGCCATGACAAGTGCAAAAACGGAACACGAAACGGGTGTGTGTGTGTGTGTGTGTGTGTGTGTGTGTGTGTGTGTGTGTGTGTGTGTGTGCGTGTGTGTGTGCGCGTTTGTGTGTGTGTGCGTGTGCGTGTGCGTGTGCGTGTGTGTGTGTGTGTGTGTGCGTTTGTGTGTGTGCTCATACTCGCCGGTGCAACCCCAGTTTGCTATGAGGGAGAGCCCAGCACGTTGACTGTCATGGGCCTTGACAAGTGCAAAAACGGAACACGAAGCGTGTGTGTGTGTGTGTGTGTGTGTGTGTGTGTGTGTGTGTGTGTGTGTGTGTGTGTGTGCGCGTGCGCGTGTGTGTGTGTGTG